GTGTCCTATCCGTCCCTCACGACCCTCGGTGAGTACTATCCAGCTCAGCCCTCAAATTTCTACCTTGACTAGAATGACTGTATCATTAATTGCATCTCACCGATCCCTTTCAGCGCAAGCCCTTGTAGACTCTGGTTCTTCGGGGAACTTCATATCCCGCAACACACTCCACCGCCTTCAACTACGACCACTGAAACATGCCCATGTCCTCAATATCCTCACCATCCAGGGAAAGCCGTTGGGTCGTGGGAAGATCCAACTATGCTCCCCCACCATCACGCTCCGCATAGGGTGCCTTCATGAGGAAACCATCTCGTTTCTGGTGCTGGAGCATTCCACAGCAGAAATCATCCTGGGGCGCCCCTGGTTAACCCAACATGCACCCATCATTAACTGGAGCACCAACGAAGTTATTCACTGGAGTGAGTACTGCACTGTATACTGTATGTCCCAAGTTCTTCCCCTGTCACCTGGTTTCCTCCCTGTCTGTGCCACCTCCACCCTAAACCCCGAACCCACGGAACCACACAGCATTCCCTGGGAATACCGGGCGTTCCAGGATGTGTTTAGTAAGCGGGCCGCGACGAAACTACCACCTCATCGGCCGTGGGACTGTGCCATAGATTTGCTGCCTGGAGCTCAACTCCCTAAGGGTAGGGTGTACCCTTTGTCCATCCCGGAGCAAGGAGCAATGGAGGAGTATATTAAGGAGGCTCTCCAGCAAGGCTTCATCCGGCCCTCCACCTCACCGGCCGCTTCAAGTTTCTTCTTTGTGGGCAAGAAGGACGGAGGCTTGCGGTCCTGTATTGATTACCGGACCCTCAACTCACAAACCGTCAAGTGTCCATATCCCCTTCCACTGGTGCCGGCCGCCCTCGAGGAACTTCGTGGAGCTTGTATCTTCTCCAAGCTGGACCTGCGAAGCGCCTATAATCTCGTTCGTATTCGCCATGGTGACGAGTGGAAGACCGCCTTCATCACGCCCACCGGACACTATGAATACTGCGTTATGCCGTATGGCCTATCCAACTCACCTTCCGTCTTCCAGGGATTCATGAACGAGGTGTTCCTGGAGTTCCTCCATCATTCTGTGATCGTGTATATCGACGACATCCTGATTTACTCCCGGAACCTGGCCGAACATCGCCACCACGTGGAGCAGGTCCTTCAACAACTGAGAAAATACCACCTCTATCTCAAGCTGGAGAAGTGCGAGTTCCACCTTACCACCGTCAAGTTCCTCAGCTATGTCATCAGCCCTCAGGGCATCCAGATGGATGACAAAAAGGTCCAAGCCATTCACCTCTGGCCACAACCCAAGACCGTTAAGGAACTCCAACGCTTTCTAGGATTCTCAAATTTCTACCTCCGTTTCATCCACCATTTCAGTCAGCACACAGCCGCCCTCACGTCTATGCTCCGTAATAAGCCCAAGTCTCTGTCCTGGACGCCCAC